GGAAAGGGGGGGGCAGAGGGGAGGGAGAAACTTTCATAACGAGGCCGGAGTGGGCCTCCAACCCCGTGAAACTGGCTCCCGTGGGCCGGGAAGGAGTTAACTCCCGGCCGAGAGCCGCGGGGGGAATGTGCAGTCAGGGAGGTGCTAGTGAAAGTGACTACAGAGGAGTGAATGGGGCTGGGAAAGTTTTAGAAATGCTTCCTTAGGTATTTGACAGCGTGTTCCGCTCCCTCATAAATTTGGTTTGAAAGTGAGTTTCTACTCAAAGCGCTACAGCCTTCCTTCCCCCCCCCCATCGAATTTCCACAAATTAGCAGATGAAGAGATTCAGAAAATGTCTCTGAATACACGTGTGTTAAGTAAGCTTTCTTTTGAGGCATGGCCAAAGCCTTCTAAATCCTTAATTAAGGGCAGCTTGAGCCTGGGAGCTTTATTGCGCTGTACTGCTGACAACCGAGGTTAAACTTTCCTGCTATCTTTCATGCACTCCTCGGAATTGCGCAAGATCGTTGCAACTTTTGAAATCGAGGAGCCAGGGTTTAGAGCGCGGTCCGCGTGTCCTATTGCATTTGAAGCGTTGCTTCCTTAAAGGAAAGTCTCTTGGGGAAAGCGGAGTCCAGCGGCAACAAATGGGTTTAAGAAGGGTTTGTCAATGAGTTCCTCGCTATACAGCTCAGAGTAACCTTCCCTTATAAATACAGCCATCTTGGGAGTATTTGCACAGAACAGCTTACGAATCTTTCTCTTTTTTTTACCCCTTGCAGAAGAAGAGCAAGAGGAAGATGAGGAAATTGATGTCGTTACATTAGCTGAAGCGAATGAATCTGAATCCAGCACAGAGTCCAGCACAGACGCATCAGAAGAGCACAGTAAACCCCACCACAGCCCGCTGGTTCTCAAACGGTGTCACGTCAACATCCATCAGCACAATTATGCCGCTCCTCCCTCCACCAAGGTTGAATACCCAGCTGCAAAAAGGCTAAAGTTGGACAGTGGCAGAGTTCTCAAACAGATCAGCAACAACCGAAAATGCTCGAGTCCCCGCACGTCAGATTCGGAAGAGAACGACAAGAGGCGAACGCACAATGTCTTGGAGCGCCAGAGGAGAAATGAGCTGAAGCTGAGTTTCTTTGCCTTGCGTGACCAGATACCAGAGGTAGCCAACAACGAAAAAGCGCCCAAGGTTGTCATCCTGAAAAAAGCAACGGAGTACGTTCTTTCCATCCAGTCGGACGAGCATAGACTGATCGCAGAGAAAGAGCAGTTGCGGCGGCGGAGAGAACAGTTGAAACACAAACTCGAGCAGCTAAGGAACTGTTGTGCGTAGGAACTCTTGGGCATCGCTTAGAATAACCCAAACTAGACTGAAACTATCATAAAATATTAATGTTTCTAATATCACTCATGTCCATTGAGTATGGAACTATTGCAACTGCATGCTGTGCGATTTGACTTGAGACTACACAACCTTGGCTGAATCTCCCAAGGGTTTGGCCAGAACCTCAAAACTGCCTCATAATTGATACTTTGGGCATAAGGGATGATGGGACATTCTTCATGCTTGGGGATGAACTCTTCAACTTTTTTTCTTTTAAAATTTTGTATTTAAGGCATTTTTTCATATGAGAATCCCCCAAAAAAGTTGTCTCCAGATTGCTGTATATATTTACACATCTTATTGCCATGTAAATACCTTTAATAAAGCCTTTATAGAAAAATGTGCAACATTAATACGCAACAGTTGTGGCAACTGGATTTATACTTGTCTTGAACTTCTGTGCCATAACATTTCACAATTTTGTTTTTTATTTAAATACATTTTTTCTTTTAAAAATGATTTTTATTTTGTTTTTAGATAAATAAATATTTGCCCAAAATATAATTAGCTAAATCCTGTGTAAAGACTTTGCTTTGTCTCCCACTGTTGTCATTAGATGATTATTTCTATGACATCCCTCGCTCTGTCATCATGACAGTGACATGAGAAAAGTCAAATGGCAGTTAAGTGAGAGGAAATTATGATAGCTTTGCAGCTTAGTAAGGAGCTGAGTTTCTTCCTCCCCGCTTTTATTAATTTAAGAAGATAAAATCGTTGGTCTAATGTGCTTTGTGGGTTCAACCAGTGTTGCCACCAGTGCCCCAAGAAGGTGGTGGTAGCAAGGTCTGTCTTGGACATGGTGGTCTGCCTGCTCAAAGTTGAGGTGGTGTATTTTTACACCAGTCCTCCCAGTGTTTGGGCTCTGCCTTCCTTCCAAATACGTATAATTACATTTTCGGGGCATGACCTTAATTCTGCACTAGAGACCAGCTACGTATTTTTTGAGGGCTGCTTTGCAGTAGGCTCACCTTAATTGCTTCCTGTTTGATTTTGAGCAGAAGTGACATGGGAGAAGAAAATAAACTGAGATGGTGAGTGTTGAAATGGTTAAAACAACAGAGCAGTTTCCCTTTTTAAGTGCTGAAATCAGCAGAGCTAATCTTCCTGGTCAAACACCTTAACACTTTGTTAATGTGAGTAGTTACTTGGGATTTCAAGGAATACAAAGTTTAAGGACACACAAAAGGGACCAAAGGAGAAGAACAGGTCTTTCTCACCTGGAGAGTATGCTCAAACAAATTCCTAACATTTGCCAGACATATTAAATCCTACTTACATTCAGGAATTGTCTCATGATCAGCTTCGGGTGGGCCATGAAGTACATGCTTGACACAGCTCCCAAGATTAGATTTGATCTTTTTCTCCCCTCCTTTTACCCACTTAGTTTTGCTTGGGTCAGAACTTCAGCAAGAACTCAATGAGCCCTTTGATGTGGGGGAAGAAGGTGCTTTTCAAAGTGTTCAACCTTGTACTTTTCGATTTTCATAATTCCTGTTAAATACATATTTGCTTGGCTTCTAACTATTTGAGAAGCAGCACTGCCAGATAATACCGGTGCCAGCAACCAAACTGGGGCTGAGGGTTCAGGTTTTCTATTGCTTTTGAGTTTGGAGTGGGAAGAAGGTGGCTTGAGTGTGGATGTATAAGGGATGCGGGAAGGCAGCATTTTATAGACAGGGTAGATGCCAAAGGTCTCTGTCCTGCAAAGTCTAGGGTAACTGTCCCAACAATTTTGCACATAGGGTTTCCAAAACAAGTTAAGTGTCTAAATCCCATTTGATGAAGTGCTTTAGCTGCTGGGCTGAAGGTTTCTTGGGAAAAAAAAAAAATAAATTTGTTAGAAAACCAGGAGAAAACAAGGCTTTTTTCTTCAATGTATCTGCACCACTCACTTGTAACTGGGTTTATAGAAGTGGTCTGCAGTTGCATTTTTCAAGCGTGTGATTCAGATACTCACTTATGAGGAAAAAGAATGATGTGAAATGAAACTTCATTGTATCTGAACTGTAAATCAGGACATCTTCCAGCTCTGAATAACAGAAAAATTCTACCTTTTGTTAGACAGGATAACTTATACTAAAAGAACATGAATTTCACTTGCCTTTTGGCAGGCACCCTAATTTAGATATTGCTTTGGAAGAGAAGCAAGCTGTTGTTCAAGAATTTTTAACTGCATCCCCATCCCCCGAAACAAACTGAGAAGTGTAGATTCATCCAGAACTATGAAAAACCTCTATCACCTTCAGGTCCCAGTTTCGTGCGTTAGCAAAACCCCTCACTTCTTCCCGTTAAATGAGGTTAGACCACAGTAATTAATAAACCTCTCATTTGTTGGCTTCTTAAATCATTTGGAGAATAGTTCTGGTTTTTTTCTTCTATCTGCAGAAGGTCCTCAGTCTTTTGATGAATAGGATATTTGCAGTTATTTAATTTCATAATCTCATCTTTTAGTTGAGCATCAGTTCCACTTGCCACTTTCCTACTGGAAGAGCACACTAGATCATGAACAAGACCCCAAATTGTCACTCTAAAAGATTGTGATTTTATAGGATGACACTTCATATTTATGACATTTCTTACTTTGTTGAAGTATTACAAAGTACCTAAAGAATGTAGTGAAAAATTAAATAAATTTAAAACAGCCTATGGGTGCAGGAGTAAGAAACCTCTACTCATCATTAAACTGCTGCAACAATAAAGAGGAAGGCGGCTTCCACTTTCCGACTCAGCATGAGAGGTTAGGATGTTCAGAAGACACAGACATCCCTCAGGAGCTTCCACGCTGGATTCAGTTAGTAACACATTGTATATGGATAGGAAAGTGTTGGGTTTTGCTGCTGTTTTGGAGCAATAAAGGAAAAGAGCTTATAAAAGAAGTCTCTGAGCCTTGAAATAAAATGCAGTAAGTATTTACAGTGCTTGCCAAACAGCTGTACCAAAACACTACTTTAAATACAAAGAACATTTTTAACTTCATCTCTCTGCTCCTTTACTTTCACAGGAGATTTCAAGCTACTTGTCTTCCAGAAAAACATTAGGCAAAATATGGGATTAAAGGAAACTAGAAACAAACCATCATGGTGAAAATAGAATTGCCTTTATCATATACCCTCATTGTTTTCATTTAATAATACTGATTTTTAGGGTTCCAGCTTAAATTTTTTTCTTGTGTATAAGTTCTGTCTTTCCAGCCAACTAATAATCTAAATGACTTTGCTGTATCTATACAGAATATGTTGGGGGAGCATTGGGATGTATGTATAAAAGCACCCATGTCTGCTTTATCCAGCTCCCATCAGAGCCTGTGGAAATTCCATGTTTCTTCCAGGGAAACGGACTTGTGCCAGTGGAGGATGCTCTTGAAAATTTTATCACTGCCTATAAAGAAATCACTTTACTTGCCCCTGCTGTAACTGCTCCTGCTCCTGTAGCACTTTGCAACCATTGCAGGCAGTTGAGAGATGACAAATATTTCATCAGGGTTGTATTAAAAGGAGAATTTGAGGTAAGTGGAATAGAATTACTGTAAACTGGAAATAAGCCAGGCCACTTCAGTTAAAATCTGAATTTATTCAAAACGGAAGGTAGAGGTGGTTGTTTCATCTACAGAGATGAACCATCTTCTAATACGCTGGATTTTTTTTTTAACTAATTTTTGATTGATCTGTGCTAGAGTCATCTGCCAATGAATTATCAGAAAAATAAAACTGAATGATAGGGGAACCTAACACAAGCAGACAGCTTGGGAAGAGACTCAGGATTTACTTCCCAGCTTACGGGTTTGCTATTTCCTCATTTTAAAAGGACATCTATGAGAGCTTCTGAAAAAAGGCTCTGGTGACTGAAAACTAACCTCTGGTTTCCCCTTGAGGTTTCCACGCAAACGAGGCCTAAACCTGCCTAGGAAAAAAAAAAAAAAAATCAAGAAATGAGATAGATGAGCCGCAGAAGCCAGATTTCATTTCCAGCACCAAACGTTTGACGTTCAGTAGGTTTTACCTGCCTTCGCGCCATTTACTCATCTCAGGCATAGCTGTAGAGTCAGTGGGGACAGGCAATAGCAAGACCGTTATCCAAGGTTCAGAGTAACAGCTAGGAAGTCAAAAAGTTTTTTTTCTCCAAATCCTGCTGTTCACTTTCTACAGAGATCTTGAACGAAGGGAAGGTGCAAGCTTTTGGAGCATCTTGCTGATGGCAGTGGACTCAGCATTGTGGGTAATGCATATCATGGAAGAGTTGCAGTTACTGTGCATCCAGGTGGGAATGAGGTTGGGTGAGACACTGACCAGGCAGTGACAATACTACCTCTTAATCACTTCTTGACTATATGACAGGGCATTTTTTTGCATCTCTACAGAGGCCAAGCACCTTCTCTCTAAGTATGTCCATACTCCGTCTTCCTAGGAAATGAGATAAATTACCTTTTCTGATAGTAAAGAGTATGACCTTTGGTGCTGAATACTAGTGCATATGAAAAAGTTTTATTTGCCGCTTACCAAAACTGTTCGATATTTGTAGTTACTGAGCAAACCTTGCTTCAAGTTGCCACCAATGCATAGGAGCCCCAGCTACAAGGCACATCTGCATGGTCATGCTTAAAGCCATGAGACATGATGGAGAAGTCACTGGCTCAGAGTGGAGCTGCTCGACTCTGCCTGACTTTGATGGCAAAGTATCTTGTTCCCACAAGCACTGTTTCCAGTTTCAAGCTTAATATATGAATTGTGGAGCTATTCCTTGTTCTACACAAGTCTGGGAGAAAGCAGCTAGGTAGGTTACCTCCTGACATTATGTATTATGGTGATTACATTTTGTTAAATTCACCTTTCATGTATGTCTCTCTACAGGTCTTGCCACGGCTACTGTTCTGTTGAATACATTTCCATTCAAGGCAAAACCTTTCGTGCAAGCATGTGTAATTTCCATCCCAAGCTTCTATGTGGAATTATGTTTTCCCTATAGGATCAAAAAAAAAAAAAAAAAAAAAAATTAGGTGCTAGGAATGAAGAGGTTTTAAAATGCAAGCTGCAAAAATGGAGCAATCTGACTGCGTAACAAGGAGTTCCAAGCAGAGAAATTAACGCTGCTTGGAACTAATT